CCCCCTTTCCCCCTTCTGAGCTGACATTCCCCTCCCCCCCCTTTCCCCCTTCTGAGCTGATGTCATTTATGAACGGTCCCTTACTTTACTTCAAGTTTAGCTTCTCATAAACGTATTAAGGTTTTTTAATGTGATATCTTTTATTTGCGAACTCTTTAAGTCTCCCACTGTTTTGTTTAGAACTCAGAAAACCGCCACGTTGTGCCTCCAATTTTAATGAAAGCACAGTTGATTTTCCTCATGTTGTCGACTTGTTAATAATACTGAGCAGTTCGATCCACTATTATAAAAATATGGACTAAACGGTTTCAGCTCATAATTCTGGAGCAGAGGGTTACATCTGAGCTCTTCTTTTCAGCCGGGGATACAGGTGCAGAAGATGATGCCCCGAGCAGTCCGCCTTGTGATAAAGGTGCAACTGCTGAGGACAAAGACAATGAGGATGGTGTACTAGATGACGGGAAAGATGAAAGCTGGAGATCTGAAGCTCCAAATCTTTTCAAACTTGATGTGCATTACTCGTAAGACTTCAGTTGATCATTCTGGATGGGGTGACAATCCATTTCAATAACTTCATGCATCAATTCAGAAAATATTCTTGAGTAAAAAAATTGCCAATCTGTTTGTATTATGTCACTCAGAGAAAACCTGGGCATTTGTCTTCTATGAAATTTAAAAAAAAAAAGAAAACAATGACACTGTATTTTTTCATCAATTCTGTACTAATAAATACTGTCAAATGTGGCTAAAATGAAAATACTACAGTTCTAATATAAAATTTGTGATACACTTCCGCTAATGAATTATAACACGATACAAATGTAGAATTATAAAGAAACTTTCTTTCTCACAATAACGCGTTGGGTGACCGGGTACATACACTCTTTAGTACATGTACACTGTTGTCACACATAGATTGCATGTAATATAATGTTTATGATCTTGTAAACGTACTTCGAAGAGCAACATTTCGAAATCTTTTATTCATTCTGCGGTTGTCCATCTCTCTTTCTCTCTCTCTCTCTCTCTCTCTCTCTC